TTATGTTAAGATGTTCAAGGTCTAGGATTTAATATTAACGGCTGAAGGAGGTGATCCGTTGAAAAGTTCCGACCGCTTTTGCTCAAATTTTTTATTTTGTCATGTAAAACTTTATTCTTTAAAATGATGCAAAAAATTTTATATCTTACAACTCAACATTTTTTCGACCCTTATCAAATCAAATAAAAAATATTTACTAAAATAAACTTTTTGCATGGAATTATCTCTGGATAAACGAATTTTATAATTGCGGGAAATTTTTTTTTTTTAAATTTACTTAAAAAGTTCTCGAGATAAAGTAAAATACGCAGAGTAAGGGACTTGGGAGCGCTTCCCTGACCGAACTATTGGGATCAAATTTTGGGGGTCTGAAATCCGAATCCGTCAAAAAGATGGCATGTTTATTCAGAAAAAGTACGTTTTTGTGTCTGATTTCGTAACTTGAATTATCGTCTGCACTTATTAATTAGCATATTTGAGCTCACCCCCTTGAACCATTAAGAATGCATAAGATCTAATCATTTAATCATAAATTATTCAGGGTAGTCTTTTGTTTTTAAAGCATTGTACACTCGTGAAACATTAATGTTATTTCAAAGGTATATATTTTCGAAGTACTTAATTTCTTAAAAGGAAATAAAAGAGCGTTAAACAATTAAAAAATTTCATTATTTCGTTTTTCCAAAATTAAATATTCGTTGTCTAGAAAGGCATAAAAAGTAATATGAATAAATTCGAAAGAAAAAAAATTTGGGGAATAAATTGGCTCATGTATTCATGAATAAATATTTCTTAATGACTCCCTTATATTTAACTCTCCTTTAAGTAGCGAAGTAGTTAAGTTACTACAATTCCAAAGTAATTTGTAATCACTACAAACGTCGTTGTCGTTACTACATTTGTAACAAATGTAGAAAACTAGTAAAATAATGCAGTTTTTCTGACCACTGGTTAAGGGCTATTAAAGACACCTCTCCCACAGTCAAAATTTTTACACAAGTAAAAAAAAGGTAGTACTTACCTTAATACAGGAGTTGAAATTAATGATGGTTCTTTTGTTTGAGACTGCTAAAATCTCACTCAGGCCACCAAAAAATAATTATCAGTGATCCTCCAGGCCAGCAATTGATGTAAAGGGATTAGTTTAAGTCTCTATGCTATTTAGATTAGTTTAAGTCTCTATTTTTGTCATAAAAAAAGTATATTTCATAATTGTGACACCGCTCATTTCCTGTGTTTCATTTTCCCTTCATTAACTCTTTTTAAAAAAGAAAAAATACTACTTATCCATAAGTCCGCACCCATAAATTCAGCCATTTTATTTATTAACTAATTTATTTAAATGAAAAAGTGCTTTCATTGGAGACTAACTGCTTGCTTCAGCACAAATATCAAAAAATCTAATAGAGCACCGGTATTTCAGTTAAAAATGTGTATGGACATTTTAATTCAAAATTCTATCTCAATTATCATCTGTTTCAATTCTTTGAAAATTGTAATTTTATTAAAATCATGCAGAACTGTTTTTTTTTTTTCATGTAAAGTCAGTCTTTAATTCGTCTGAGAAAAAAATGATGGCTCAAAATGGACTCTTAATTAAGTCAGCAAAAGATGAAGTCTTTTTAGATGACGAAATAAAAAATGAAACATGCAAACCTTGGGAGATCCTCAGGTATAAAAAGACATGGTGGGAAATCATAAGAATGCATAATTAATAGAATGCATAATAAATTCAATGCCAGTGATGAGGAATCAATTTATAGTGATGATCTATGGCAAAGGGGTTGCTTTGTGTGTGTGTGACTCAAAATTTTATAATAATGGATATACTTTTCTTGTATCGTTCATTCATGAAGAACAGTGTTCATCTGGAATCTGTTACTGTGAATGACCGAAATTGGTGGTTGTTGACTATCAGTCACTTTGGTAAATGCCCAAAATAAATACTGTAGTCAAGTGACACTGCCTGGTATACCCTACACGGATGTTTCTTTAAGGTTCAGTGCCATTTAACCGGTACTTCGAACGCTGATGTTTCCCCTAATCTACCCCAAGCAGATATTAGAATATCAAATATTTCGGACATTCTCCAAGGCGACTATGTGACCGTGGACATTCACTGACGAAAGTAAACATCTTGATTTCGTTCATTCACGGAAACATAGAGAAATAGTCTTTCTTCTGACTGCACCCCATATGGTAAACAGATTTTTAAAAAAATTCTGAGTTCATAACTGTCAACAAACATGGTAAAAATTCAGGTTTAATAAAAAACTAACTTGAAAAATAATTCTAAAAAAAAAAAAAAAAATNAAAAAAAAAAAAAATTACTTATTGTCTTATACTTCATTAAAAACACAAAGCATAGGAATTCCATTTTCCATACTGCTAAAGATAAAGTTAAGTAAAAAATGCATTAGTTGTTAAAAATGTTTTAATGCTTAACGAAAATCAACAGTGAAATAAAAAGTTTAAAGTTGTTTCGCAGTTTATTGTCATGTCTATGACACGTGTGACAAACTACTTTTACACTTAAAATTTAAATGCAATGAAAATATGAATTTGAATATATTTAAAATCATTGACACTCATTTACAGAAGTATACTGTCAACGTAAAAAAATAAGTTTAAAATAAATTCTTTGAATTGGCTTAATTTATTGATTTACTTCAAACATTATATTTACTTAATTCCAGCGCTGTCTCACATGTGACACTTGGTTTATTTGTTATAATGAATGTATTTTATGACTTTGAAAAGAGTTTATTAGTCTTAAAAAATAAAGTACTGTTTTCACTTCATAAAATTTCTGTTTCCTGAAAGTTTGTAAATATATTATGATACAAGTGGTAGAAAAAAATGACCAAGAAATTGTCCCACACAACATATAATGATGATTCCCTCATGAGTAAACTAATTATAAGTTACAAAATATATAATGATTGCATAAATGAGTTAATTTTTCAATCAAATCAAGGGTTTAAACAAATTCCAATTAATATTTATTATTTTTAGAAGAATATATCTCCTAATTACACATCTGTGTGATTATATTATAATTATTTTTAGTAAATCTACGTCCTATACTCCATCCATGAAGCCGAGTGTCAATAGAAAGATTAGTTTCGAATTTTGGTCTTGTTCACATAAAACTGAAAAAATGAACTTAAGAATATAGAGTGCTTCAAAAAATTTTTTGTAATTGCATGCTTTGAAGAAAGGAGGATTTGGATGAAAATTGATAATGCATATAATTAATAAGATGATTGTTAAATGTTTATTTTTGTTATAAGAAGATTTTGCATTTTTAATTTCCATAATTAAACAAATTATAAAAAAATTGCAATTTCGCACATTTTATACCTATTTGTTTAATATTTTCTACACCAAAATTTAGGTTTTTGACAGTAAATGTCAAATCAAAGAGTTAAATGTCAAAATAATTCAAGAATATATATGATTTAACACTTGTCAATTCTGTACATAAATACTTCATATTTTAGGGTATTTGGCAATTGTCAGAAACTTGCTAACCCTGGTGGGTACACATTTTATTATAACTTTAATTGTTAAATTTAAAGAAACCCAGACTTAATAAATCACTTTTCATCAATACTGTTCTTAAATTGACAATTAATTGTAGAATAATCTTATTTTAAACATTTAACATTATTTGAATAACTTATGCGAACAAGCATCTGACATTAAATTTTAGATCTTAAGAGGTGTGAAAAATAATTTAAACCATACATAAAAACAATGAATCATACCTAAAAGCTAATGAAATTAACTACTAGAAGAATTTTCTTAAAAAGCATAAAAAGTTGGCAGCCCGATTAATCTTTCCATATCGTGATCTGCCATGCCAATTACAATTGACTTTAAACAGGGAGAAATAAAATAAAAAAAAAAACATGTAGTTAATGTTTGCCATAGGGTAGTATGAGTTATGCCCTTCCCCTTTTTACAATTTTTTTTTTTCAGTTTCTCACAGGCCACTGACCTCAAGTTGCCTCGGACGTATATGCATATTTTTATATATTTTCTAAAACTATTTTTAAACAAGAACATCAGAAATTTTTTTTATAAGTAATTTCAATATTTGTAGAAAACATTGAACACTAAAAAATGCTGAATATTTAAACTGTACATTACTATACGTTAATAATATTCAAACTTATTATGGAATCACTTTTAATAATTTATCCAATTAGTAATATTTTGCAATTTACAGCATCTGAGGGTAAATACAACTTTTACACGTAGTTAGTGAATATTTTCACTATATCATGCATCAAGGATAATTTTTTATCATTTATTATGAAAACTGTTAATAGCAAAAATTAAACAAGTAGAGGTGCAATCATATTTTCCTAATCTCATCAGTTATTACACGGAGAGATAAATTTAAGCTTATAATGAAAAGAATTTTTTTTTGTACCTCAAGAGAAAGTGCATATTTAATAACCATCTAGCAAATATATCTTAATATTTGATGCAATAAATTTTTCTCACTTCATAAAAATATCAGTAATATCAAAATACTTTCAATAGATGCATTATCTTAAAAACAATGGATATTTGCGAAAGTGCATAAGTTTGCTGCATAAATAAGTTATGTATTTGGTTACATACTAATGTTGAAATTTGTCTAGATGAATATGCACATTTTATAAGCCTTCATAAAAAATTTTGTAGAATAAGATTAGCTGGTTAAAAAACTAAGTCATTTTCTTTGAAATTCTAAAAAGAGAAATTAATACTTTGCTATAAAATTTAAATGTATTGATTGCATCCTTTAAAAAAATTCAACTGAATATGCAGACTAACAAAAATTATGAACTTTCTTCAAAATAAATTTTCTCTAATGAATAAATAATATCAATCTAATGCATATGTAAATAATTTAATTAACTAGAACTTATTATAGAGAGATTTATAAGAAACATTTCATAAAAGTAAAAAATTAGAAATTGAAAGTGCATAAATAAAATAGAAAATTCCATAAAATATAACTTTATTTAAACCATAAATAAAGGAAAATTTTGTTTAACAATAAACATTATACCATAGAATATTAAGTTTGGTTAGAGAATGTGATATGCAACATTAAAATGCCAATTTATAAATTGATGTTCAGAACACATGCAACTTCAAAAACAGCGTTAACAGAGCTATCTAAACAAAACAAAAGAAAAAAAATTACACTACTCAATACACAACATTTGCTGTTCCTCGTAACATAAAAAGGATGAAAATCGAATGATGATACATGAAGATTATCAAATTATAATACACATGAATTAATGAAAGATGCAGATGAATATGTGCTAAAATTCAATTAAAATTTAATAAAAATATGCACATTTCAGTGAAAGACAATAGTCATGAACATTAGTACATATGAGTAATAATAATTTACCTTTCAAAAGATGTTTACACAGTTTCAAGTCCATAAATTAACCATCTTCGAACGATAACACAGTTCACGAAGGAAAAAAAAATGTCAACGTCCAGTGACAATTTGAAAAAGAAGTTGGTCTCACATTTACTTCTTCGCCTTTTTGGGGGCTGCTTTCTTTTTAGGTGAAGCCTTGGCTTTTTTAGGTTTTACAGCTAATTTCACTGCTTTGGGTTTCTTCGGAGAAGCAGCTTTTTTTGCAGGTTTTGCTTTCTTAGCAGGACTCTTCTTAGCCGCAGGTTTGGCGGCGGCTGTTTTCTTAGGTTTAGCTGCTTTTTTAGGAGTAGCTGTTTTAGCCTTTTTAGGTTTGGCTGCCTTGGTCGCTGCTGACTTCTTAGGTTTGGGCGCAGAGCTGCTCTTTTCTTTAGTACCAGTGCTGATTTTAAAAGATCCGTTGGCTCCTTTGCCCTTGGTTTGTACGAGACTCCCACCAGCGACTGCAGATTTGAGGTATTTTCTGATAAAAGGTGACATTTTATCAGCATCCACTTTGTAGTTGGCGGCAATATATTTTTTAATTGCAGCAAGCGATGAGCCTCCTTTTTCTTTTAAGGCAGTGATAGCCGCGGGAACCATCTTTGCGACGGGTGGATGAGAAGGCGCAACTTTCGGTTTTTTTGCCTTCGCAGTTTTGGTTTTTTTTGGCGTTGCAGGAGCAGCTTCAGTGCTTTCAACCATTTTTAATTACTGAATGAAGAATTCGTTGATAAAAACTAATAATCGGTCAACAAACAGAACGACGTAACGTCCAGAGTAGCGTGAAAGAGATTTGAATCGAAAACACGTTCAAGGCAGGCGCAGCTTATATAGAGTTGTAGCGGACCTCGCGGAAAGCTGTAAACAGAGAGCGCACCGTGTCACTACTCTTGTTCGAAACGATCGGACTTTCGCTCAAAGATTGTGTTTCTTCATCGACTTTGAAGGATGTTAAATACTTTGAATTTATTCAAAATATTTTGTTTGATCATTGTATCGTTATAGAACAGTCTTGTGAACCATTTTCCAATCCAAAAATATTTTATTTTAACCGCATCTTTTTTAAAAAACGTTCTTTCTGACGAGATCGATGAGCGAAAATTTATAAGTCTCTAATTGTTTCTCGTTTTTCTTGAAAATAAAATTTATTCATTACTGATCTATTACATAATTATAAATTTTGAACAGTTTTAATTTGGTTTTTTAAATCCTATTACAGTTTAAAGCCTCGAGAAGTTGATGAAAGTATTTTTTTTCGAGGTCACCTAACACACATCAGAGCCTTCACATCAAATCTGGGTCGCCATTACTTTAATGTTGTAACGATTTTTTTTAATTTAAATAAATTTTTTTTCATATTTTAAGTTATATTTGTAAACGCACGGTGTTTAGAGGATATTTGGCGACATTTAATATTTAAAATGATATAAATAAACATTAATAAAGCGAAAAAAAGCTTATTTCACACGAATGCTTGGGTTAACTGATTCTGAAGTGATTTGATGTATTGTAAAAATTCATAAAATATGTGTCAATTAAATTTTCGAAATAAATATGTTTAAAAGTTCTTTTTTTGTTTATATTTTACATTCGAGTAGCTTCAATGTTATCGAAGCTTTAGAAACAGAATTATTATTTCATTTTTAGAAATAGTTTGAATAAACACATATTGTTTTAGTCAAATGTTAGTAAGGAATATTCAAACATTTAGTTTTGTCTCTTTCTTTTAAAACTCATATTTTTAATATTTTTTCCAAATTAATTAATATGCAGTATATATTTTGTTAAAACTGTATTAAGCTTTTAATAATACAGTTAATAAAAATAAAGTTTTTTCTTTTTCTGTCTACATTTATGACTAAGTGTAGTGATGAATAATAATATAATGGTTATGTCTAGGACAAAGAAAAAAAAACGTTTGTTATGACTTTATTTATATTTAAATAATTACGTTTCCAAGGAATTTGATTAAAATTAGATGGTTATTTTTTTTAAAAATTCCTTTCTCATTATGTTATATTTACTTTTACAGCAATAATTGAATCCTGATCATGAATAATAAATAGTGTAGAGTAAACATTTGACTTCTGTGAATGTAATTTAGAACATATTGTAAGACTTTTTGTGAATTTACAGATTTTTAAGTATTTCCCACATGTATTTATAATATTGTAAAAAAAGGTTTTATAAGGAAGAAAAAAAAAACGAAAATTTAGACGAATTTAAATTGTTAGTAAATTTTTTAATACACGAAATTATCAGTGAATACTGTAAATTCGTGTAAAAGACAATTCCAAGAATTTAAAAGCAATTCTGAATATTCGTTAATTTTACAAATTGGTGACATTTTATTTATTTATTAATTTTTAATTAAAATAAGACTAAAAAAAAAAATCTTTCATTGAGACTTTTTAAGACTTGGAAAAAAAAAGAAGCTATTTTTTAAATACTTAATATCTTGCGCTGAATTTCAAAAATAAAATTTTAAATTTACTTATTTTGAAATGCAATGTCTAATATGGATAATATATTCATAGAAAAATAGATGCTTCACGCAATAAGGAAAATATGGATGTATTTCCAAGTTTATAAATTCCATTCTCCCATGTTAAAATGACTTGTTTGAAAAGAATAGTATTTTTAATCTCATATTGTCTTTGTATTTCTTATCGAAAGTAAATTTCAGAAAGTAAGGAATATTAATGCTCTGACTCCACTAAAGTTCATAGATATGTGGCTCTAGATGAAATATTGACGCGGCGTGAAATTTTATTATTTTTTGGGAGGGGGTGGAGAAGGGGGCACCGAATTTTTCATCCTTTCGACTTTTTTTGTTTTTGAAAATTATTTTGCTTGCTTAAAATTAAACAATATGTTAAAACTCGAAACCTTTAATATGCATATTACCTCGCTGATTCATTAGGGTAATTCGCTTAAGTGCGGAATCAAGTATTTTCCTCAGGCATTGTGCACATTAATATTTTCTGTATCATTAAAATTTCTCTCATTTGATTTGCTATTTTGTTGATTGACTTGATTCTTTAGATATGAAAAATAACTTTATGACATTATGTTTACTTTATTAATTGTAACAATACCTAAAACAGTTTGGTTCCTTGCTTTTAAAGTGATTGCTGATTATCTCTATGCGCTAATTTTGTTCACTGTAGTTACTTGATTTTTTAAATAGCGAAAGATAAATAACTTATTGAAGCACAGAAGAGTGTTGCAGGATTTACACTTAAACGAGTGACTAATGTGCGGATCATCTAAGTCAGAGCCGACGGGGACCTATGCCACGTGACAGGTGTTTCGATGGTACACGAGAAGATATGTTAAATTATTTTTCTTCACTTACATTTATGGCTTACACTAGAAAAATTTAAAAAAAATTCTAGTAATAGCTGCCATTATAGGTATAGTGCACCAAAAAAATGGACCCGGAATATCTTTTGATCTGGGGTGGCAGCAAAATGTGGTCAGGAGAGCGTTGTTTCTGTGGTCAAGTTTTTCCCGCCCTATCACGATCACTTTTTCAGCGAATTAAAAAAATTTTACGCACACAACGATAAAATTCGTTTGTCTAAAGATAATTCTACGCAAAAAATAAATTTTAGTAAATAATATTATTTTTTATTACTTTATTTAATAATAGTAGTAGAATAATACTAATAAAACTTTATTTAATAATAGTAATAGTATTTTTTGAATTGCAAGGTACACAATTTTAAAATATCTAATTTTACATGGCGAACTGCAAAATTTGAGCAAAATCAGTTGAATAGCTCCTGAGAAATCGAATTTTAGAAAAGTTATATATTTCTCGGGAACTATTTAATCAATTTCGCTCAAACTGTGTATTTAACCATGTAAAATTATATACTTTAAAATGACGTAACAGTTGTATACCTTACAATTCAAAATAATTAAATAAAGTAATAAAAATTAGTAAATATTTACTAAAACTTATTTTATACATGGAATTATCTTTGGACAAACAAATCTTATAATTGTGTGCAAAATTTTTTAAAATTCGCTTTAAAAGTTCTCGAGATATGGCGAAATACGCAAAAAGTAAGATGTCGAAACTTTGGATCGTTCTCCTGATCTAACAATGGGGACCATATTTCCCAGATTGCGACTACCCCCCCTATATTTTGGTGATTAGTAATCCGAATCCGTCGAAAAAAGGTACGTTTAATCAGAAAAAAGGACCTTTCTCGTGTGTTGATTTCGTAAAAGTTAGTTTAAAAAAAGGTATGTTTATTCAGTGAAAGTACGTTTTTATGTCTAATTTCGTATTTTAAAATATCGTCTTCACTCATTCATTAGAATATTTGAGGTCAACCCTTCTAACCATTAAAATTGAGTCCTAGAACGTAAAGATCCGATCATAAGAACAAAAATTATTTTGGGTGATCTGGTTTTTTTGTGTGCACTGATCTAAAAATGAAACCGGAACATCCTTCATAAAAAATATGTTTTCTCTCACATGTCATCGTTCCTTATACCATTACATTTAGGTGTATGAAAGAACAGCTATTATTGCAATCATCGGGGTCGTTAAACATCAGCGAGCAGGGGTCTTAGCTCTCTAGTACAAAATGGAAAAAAGTAAAACCCTAAATGAATTTCTATCGAATTATTCCGCCCTAAACTCAATCTTAATGGTTCGAATGGATGACCTCAAATATGCTAATTAAGGAGTTCAGACGATATTTTAAGCTGCGAAATCAGACACAAAAACGTACTTTCTCTGAATAAGCATACGTATTTTTTTAAAACAGATTTGGATTTCTTTTCCTCAAAAATAAAGGGGGGGGGGACGATTCGCATTCTGGAAAATTAGAGTCCCAAAAGTTAAGGCAGAAAAGTTATCGAAAGTTTGGATCTGTTAATGTTAGTCTCATTTCTTGCGTTTTTCGCTTCATCTTGAGAACTTTTTAAACGAATAGAACAATTTTTGCTTATCCAAAGATAAATAATTCCATACAAAGAATAATTTTTAATAATAATTTATTATTTTATTTAATAATAGTCAAAAAGAGTTGTAAGGTATACTATTGAATAGTCTATGTATTTTTAAATGCCTATTATTAAAGAATTAAAGACGATAAATAAAACATTTAGAGAAATAGAGAGTACTTGGCCACCTACAGGTGTGATCGAGAGTCAGGACTAAGGTCCTATGCTCTCTAAAGAGGTTTAGAAGATGTAGAATTTCAAGTGACAAAATCTGAACGATATCTGGCGAATAATACGAACGAGTCATCAAATTTTAAGAATACAACTTTTTAAAGATTTGTTTTCTCTAGAGCTGTTCGACTGATTTAGTTGAACTTTTTATTTTATCATTTAAAATTGCATACGCTAAAAGGATGTAAAAATTCTTATTCCTTACAATTCAAAAAGTTTTCGTTTATTATTAAATAAAATAATAAAGAATAATTTTTAAAAAATATTCTTCTATATATGTTTGCATCTTCTATGCATCTTCGTATATATGTTTGTATTTAAAAAATAAAGTATTGTTATCTTTGGATTAGCAAAGTTTATAGTTATAGACAAAAAAAATTTCGATTTGTTTAAAAATTTTTCGAGATATTGTGAATTTTGCAAAGCTGTGAAATTAATACTAAAGGGATCCAAGCTTTCGAACACTCTCTTGCCCAACTATTTGTGACCCTATTTTCCAGATTTCGGCTACTCCCATATTTTGAAGGTCAGAAATCGAAACCTATGGAGAAAAATCAAACCATTAAGCTTGAATATACATGTGAAAACCCGATCATTCGATCAAAAGTTATTCGGGGTGCTGTTA